AAGCCAACACGAGGCCTTGGAGACCTCTCAGCATCACCTGACTCCCAGTGGGATGCTCAGCATCCAAACCTGGAGCCCTGCCAGGGCTGTTTAACCCTCTTCCATCCTAAATTATCCTCTCTCCATCTGAAATCCCCCCAGGCCCAGGGGTTGGTGCTCACTGTGCCACCAAGTGCTGAGTGGGGAGCTCAGGGATTCTGCCCCCCCCCATTCCTGCTCCCACCAGTGTCCTCTTCCCATTCTCCAAACCCAGAGCTTGTGTTTTTTTTTCCTTGGAGCTGCAGACACCAGCAGTCCTGGCCTCCATGGTTCCCACACAAGCTGTAACACTAAAAAAACCCACAATGAGTGGGAGAAAAAGAGATGGATGACACATTTGCTGCAGGAAAGGGCTCAGGGTGATGAGAAAACACTCATTTCTGGCAAAACTAACAATCTGGGGGGGAAAACTGGGATGCAGAGCAGGGAATACCTGTGCTGATATTGGAATCTGCCTGGTCAGGAACCTGTTTAAGGATAATAAAGCACAAGGACACACAGAGCACCCCCCATGCACTGCTTCCTCTACCCTTTGGGCCATTGGCTCCCGCCTCTGCAGAGCAGCTGGGGGATAAAATTCCTTAAAATTAGATCAAGGCCATGAAATGAAGGTGCAGCACCACACTCAGAAATCCAGCTTTCAAGCCCTCATGTTTCCAAACCACACTCCATGAGGGGAAGAGGACGAAGGAGTTTGCAGCATTGTACAGACAAGCAAAGGGCGCCGGGGAAATTTGGGAAGGAATCCCAAAGGATTCAGCCGAATGCTCAGAGTCTGGATATTTACGGGAAAACACTCAGGTGGGGAAGGTGCTGGGAGGGTAGTTTGGGGCTGAACCAGCAGCTCTGTGTGCAGACCAGGCAAAGGTGCCCTGACCTGCCCCTGCCAGCGGTGGGATGCAGTGGGACATGGTGCCAGCAGCCTCGGGATCACAGTGGGATCTGGCAGCCCCGTCCGAGCCCCGCCGTGTTCCGGGGTCACGGAGCTGTTTATAAGCCCCGAGTTGCACAAGGTTGGGACTGTTTTTTTCCATTATTGTATCAAATCAGCGAAATAGGGAACATGAAATGTCTCTTTGACATCCTGTATGTGGGCTCTTTATTTGTGCAGTGACTTTTCATTTCCACTTGGATCGGGAGGCAGTGACGAGATTCGGAGCTCGGGACCACAGTGGGTGTGAAGCTGGGAGCCAGAGGGATGAGCTCCCTGTGGGAAAGGAAGGGGATAAACCCAACCCTGAAACACTGGGATATGTGGTAGGAGCCCTGTGCTGTGTCCTCTCAGCTCAACCCACCTCCTTTTCCCGCCATTCCCATTTATCCCCACGGCTCTGCCCAGGGTGAGGGAAAGTTCTGCTGGATGACGGACAAAGCTCCCCTGGAGAGGGAAAAGCTTCATGCAGTTTCTTCCCCATTAAGTGTGACATCTGTTTTGGGCTGAGTCAGGCGGGTTCCCAGCGCCCACGGGGGAGACAGAGGAGGGCGAGCGCCTGTGCCGGCGGGGTCGGGTCTGCCGGGCTCCGTCTGTGCACCCCGGCTCGGCAGGGAGGAGCTCCGGGGGTTTTAATGAGCCTAAATCAATTTAGAGCTCTAATTGCTTTGCTCGGTGTGGGTGGCACTCGGTGCTCGCCAAGGACGGGGCGGCTGTCAAAGGCTCCGCTGGCTCCGGTGCCTGGAATTGCTGCTCCCCATGGCCGCTCCTGCAGTGCCGGGATGGTTCTGCTCCAACACCATCCCTGGGAATGGGGCGTTTGTCCTGGTGCAGGCGCTGCTGTCAGCAATGTTTTGCTGAGCAGGCGATGCCGGAGGGAAGCCCCAAACCACAGCCCAAGGCAAATGCTCGGGAGGCGACGCTGAGTCCCCAGTCAGCGTGTTTTTATTTCACCATCTTGCTAAGCACAGGGATAAGGGCCTGGGGGAAGGATCCTGCATCCTGCCTGGACCAGGGGAAGGGGCAGGTGCCTGGGAAAGGAGTAGTGCCAAGAGGATGGGTCCTGCCCCAGTGCTGTGAGTGTGCAGAGCTCAGCCTTGTTGGGAACACTGAGACTGTGCCGGCTCTTGGCTCAGGACCCCTGGGTGTTAACACGCCCCAAGATCAGCCCTTGGCAAGGCCACATGCAGAATCATCAGTGCTCGGTCATTCCCAGCCCCACCACACCCTGCAGTGGTTTTGGGGAGCCCCCAGGTCCCACCATGTTTCTCACCCCACACATGGGGATGGTGCCACTCGAAGCTGCCTGGGATGAGCGTCCCTTTGTGGCACGGTTTGACTCAGGACACACCAAAGGTGATAACATCAATTTGTGGTTAATTCTCTCTCTTGCTGGCTGGATACAGGATAGTTTGTGGCCTTAATTAACCTTAATTAATCACCTGTAATATATGAACTTCCTTTCTGCTGGGGAGAGGGTTGAACTGGTTGGTGGCAAGCCCAGGGCCAGCGTTGCTTTGGCCTGTGCTGGAGCAAATCCTGCCCCTTCTCCAAGTTGGAAGGGGATAAGATGGGGGTGTCATCCCCAAGCTTCCTTGTCTTTCCAAGGTGATGCCTTTGCACCCAAACCCTGCACTGGCTCTTATCCCACTGGGCTGAGCCTGGGACTGGGATGGCTGCAGCTGGAGAGTGCAAGGACTGCGTAGGGAGGGAAGGAATTTTCCCAGTGCCACATCAAGTGTGGAGTTATCCAAACCTCCTGCATCGTGTGAGTGGGGGCTGTGCTGCTCAGTGCCCCCAAACCGGGGCCTGCCCCAAAAACTTCCCATTTGGGGCCAGGCTCCCCCTGAACCCCATCGCTGCATCCAACCTTGCCCATCCCTCCTGCCCGGGACAACCCAGTGCCCCTCTCAGCCCACCCTGTGTCCCCAAAGGACTTTCCTTGCAGATGTTATTGAGGCTGTGGGGGACAGAACTGCCACCACAGAGACCCCGCGGGCTGGGGGTGCTGCCTGAAAGCAGCTGCAGCATCCTGGTGCTAATGAAATCCATCGGGAAAGCAGCCCCTGAGCAGCAGCAGCGGCGTTTGGGAGCCAGATTTGCCGAGGGGAAGTGACTCAACGTCTTGGAAGGAGTTGGGGGCGGTGGGGGGGGCAGAGGACAGGGGTTGACCCAGGGTGGGGACAGCACGGGGGGGGGGGGTTGGCAGCCACCTGCCTCCCGCTGGAGGAGCAGCATCCCTGTGGAGTGCTCTGTGCTCTGTTATCCCTCCTTAGGGCGGTGTGATCCCGGCCTGGGGGACGGGACAGGAAAGGAGGCCCCTTGGGAAGCAGTTGTTGCTTCCTCACGCTGGGCCGTGGCAGGATCCGGGCCAGCGTTCCCAGCTCCCGGCGTCACACCCTCTCCCAGCTGTTGCTCGCGGAGCATCCTGCTGCCAAGAAAACCCTGGTGATGGATGCAACCAGGACTCCTTCCCACTCCCCTCGCACTTAAAACCGGCGGGGAGCGGCCCCGTGCCTGCGCCTGATCCTGCCGCACCGGGATCCGCCTGGGAATGGGATCCCGCTGCCACCCTGGACACCTTGGGCACCCTGACCTCGTCCTGCCGGACAGGGAACAGTGGAAGAGCCTGGCACCACACGAGGTATTTGGAAAGGTGACTGGAAGGCTTGTTGCGGGAATACTGGGAGCACTGGGATGTGTTACTGGGGGGACTGGGTGTGTTACTGCGGAGTGGATGGGACAGGACCTGCAGCAGAGCGATGGGGAAGACCCAGCCCTTGTGACCCCCCCCCCAGCCCAGGACCACACTTCTCCTGGTTTTTATTACTTTGAGAGGTGAGTGGCATTTTCCACTGTCATGGGGGCACTGCTCCCCACGGGCAGAGGGGCTGCACCCCACTGGGGACCTGCCACAGGTGCCACAAGTGTGGCACATCCCGCAGCACCGCTGGCACTGGCACCCTATGGAGCTGCCGTCCCATCCCAGGGGTCCTGGGAGAGAGGGACCCCAGTGTACCAGTCACGAGCTGCCCAGTTGGCACATCCCCCCCTGGTGCAGACGTCTGGAGTTTTGGGTCTCTTCTCCTTTCCCCGTGCTGGCCCCACTGATCTGGCACATCAGCACTTTTCCTCCTGATTCAGCCTCGGGGATGTTGCAACACGGCCCCGTTGTGCAAAGTGGGCCCTGGCCCCAATTCCTCTTTTTTGGCTCCTGTGGGAGCTCAGCCACGTGCACGGGGGGTCGTTGTCCCCACCTGCACGGGACATGATGGCTGTGAGCTCCCACAGGGAATCACTCTCCACTGGCATCACCTGCTGATTCCGGGTCACAGCTGGGCGGCAGTTTTCCAGTTGTGCTGGCGGCTCTGAGGAAACTGGGATATCTCCCTTGTGTGTGTCTGAAACCAGAAATCTCATGGATATTTGTGGTGGGAGCAGGGGATTGCTGTGGTTGAAGTGATGCTCCGGTGCAGGTGCACAGTGCCAGCTTTTGGTCCAGGCATTGGTGTCTCCCTCTGGATGGGCTCTCCTGGCTCAGGGCAGGGATTTGTGTCCCTCCAGGCTCAGCCTGATCCGGGTCACCGGATGCACCGTAAACGCCACCAGCAATTCCCACCTTCTCAAAGGGTCCAGGTCAGGATGGCCCTTGGCTGGTGACCCTCTGCTTGGGGTCCCAGTGCAAACCAGCACAGGCTGATTCATCACTGGGAACACGCTGCTGGATCCCACCTCAACCCAGCTGGACAAACAGCTGGGAACAGGCAGGACCTGACGAGGCAGGGACACAGTCCCTGTTTTCCATGCATCCCAGGGATGGCTTTGGGTTACTCCACTCCTGCATCCCAGGCCAGGAGCATCCCAGGAGTGGGGAAGGGAGATGGGGGTCCTGGGGAACAGGGATGAGGGGCATCCAGGGGTGGAGAAGCCCAAGGGGACCTTCTGGCTGTGCTCAGCAGGAGCAACAAAACCACAGTGAGGGATGGCCAAACCTTTCCTGAGGGGTCCCATGGGGCTCCCGAGCCACTGTGGGCAGCACAGGGTGGTGGATGGGACACGTCACCGAGGGCAGCCACTGCCACATCCCCTCTCGTGTCCGGCTGAACCCACGGTCCGAATACCACATCCTCCCACAGAGCTTTGCTTCCCCCTTCCCAGGCTCTCTGTGCCGAGCTGGTTTATCCCACCAGCTGCATGTATTTTCCTCATCCTCCCATTCCCTGTGCATGTCCCCGGAATGAGAAGCTTCCACAATATCCCTGTCAGCTCCAGCTTGGACACCAACCGACCCAACCCTGGGTCATTTCGATGCCAGCCCTAACGTGGGTATAGAAGAAGCAGGGATGTCTAATCCAGCCTCCAGATGCTGAAAAATCCTTGGGGATTTATCCATCTCAGGTAAACACCTCTGGATTTATATATGTATTAATTTCTTTATTTTTATAGGGATTTGGGAGGCGGGCTTTGCTGTAGATTTGCAACCAGTTGAGGTTTTTTGCTCCCCTGTTGTTATAAAGTGGATTTGGGATGGCACAGGATGGTGGGTGGTGAGGACCTCCGGGATCCCTGCTGTCCTCCACCCCAAACCCCATATTTTCCCTAATTTTCCATAAAATCCCCACCTCTTTTGGAGCTGGGCTTTGCAGCCTGTGGTGATAGAAACCCTTAATGGTGGGAAAACTGCATGGAAGGGAGAGGAGCTGGATGTGAATTTGGGGGGGGTGATGTCCTTACAGTGTGGCAGTGTCACCTCGATGGGGACAGGGAGAACAGGGGGGCTTTTCTTTTCCGTGCTGATCAGCATTCAGCTGGGAATGCCAAACACAGCTGCAAGGATGCTCCTGCGGATCCGGGGGGACTTTCTCACTCAGGGGGGGCTGACTGCGCTGCCCCATCCGTCCCTCTCACGGTCACGTCCGTCCCCCAGCAGACTTATTTCCTTTTTCTCGCTTTCCTTGTTCTTTGTACCCTCCAAATCCGGAGTGATGTCCCCAAGGCTTTGTCCCCACGCAGCCATGATGAAGCCCAAGCCATGGTCAGGGACATCCCTCCCTGGGCTGGTGGGATGTAGCAGGGAGGATGCTGCAAAAAAGAGAGTTTTATTGCTCTTTTTATTGCCTGAAAAGTGCCAGGAGAGCCTTGGATTATTAGAAAAAAAAAAGAGAGGAGATGAAAGAACTTTTATTATCTTGGAAGTCAAGTCATCTTAAGCAGCTCAGAACTACAAACTGCCCTTTTCAAAGAAAATCTTTGCCTGTGTAGGTACAAACGCCCAAGATTTTCCCCTTTAATCCTCAAACCTCCCTGAGAACAGAATGGATGGAGCAAAAGGCTGGGATTTTAGTAACAGGGCGGCTCTTAACAACACTTTGTGCCAGGGAAGGATACATTCCTTTGCCTGGATCCTGCTGGAGTTTCACCCTGGCAAGAGACTTTCATGACCTTCATTTTGAGGTTAAACATCAGTTTCTGCCTGGACTGGGATGTGTTCCCCATCAGGGTGACCCCATACCATGGCCAGGGGGTTTCCATGGGATCCATCCCATTCCGAGCCGTCCTATCCCGCGCAGCCCAGCCAACGCTGCCCAGATAAACACTGACTCATGTTATTCTGTCCCACCCTGGGCACAGCAACTTTTTTAAGGCTGCCTTTTCCAGCTATTCCTTTTTTTCCTGTGCTGTTCACACGGGGCGGGGGATGAAGCCTTAGCTGGGATGTCTGGAGCAGTCGGGAATGCCGAAGGCTGCGAGTCCCGGCTCTGTGTTGGTGAAGCGGGATGTGTCTGAGTGCCGTGGATGCAGGTAGGGATCAGACTTCCCACCACCCTCTGCCTTGGGGAAGAGCCCCGTGCCTCAGTTTCCCCCGTGAGGACTGGCTGTGCCCCCTCCCTTTGCACTGGAGACCCCCAGCTCATCAGGAGAGCTTCCAGCCTGGATCCTCACTGGCAGGAGCCCGTGCTCAACCTGCTGCTGCTTCTCCCATGGCATCCTGCGTCCCTTTCAGCCTGTTGGAGCAGGACTGAGGGATCAGGGATGGTGGCAGGGCTGGGACCGTGGCCAGGAGCAGCTTTGGGCAGGCCAGTGCTCAGGGTTTTGCACTGGTGAAGTCTAAGCTCCCTCTTGATGGGCTGGTGGTGGATTTACATCCAGGAGTAAATCCCAGTTGGGGCTCCATCCCAGACATCCTGGTGGGGAGTGGGATGCTGCACAGCATCATCCCTGCAGCAGCTGTTGCCATGGCAACTTCTGGCCAAAATAAGGGGGAGTTGGAGCTGGGTCCCCAGAGTTCCTTTCCCATTCCTTTTGGTGTCTTGCTCCATTGAGCCCTGGCAATTCCCGTGTGGGAGTGGGAGCTGGATTCTGGCAGGGAAGTCCCTCCCATGTAACCCTGGGCTGGAAAAGTGTGGGTGCTGAAGGGATGGATGGGGGTGGCTTCAGGTGCCAGCCTGGAATGGGACCTGCATCCGTCTTCCCTGGGGCACGAGATCTGGCCCAAGGAATCCTTAGGGATGCTTGGGATCCAGCCTGCAGGGTGGGTCTCAAGCTCAACCAGAGCAATCAGCCCCCATGAGACTGAGACCGGCATCTGCCACATGTCCCCAGGGACATCCCTGCCTTCCAGGCACATCCAGGACTGCACCAGGGCTCAGTGGGGGCTGCTTCCAGCAGGTTCAGGGGGACATAGGGATCCTGTTTTGCCCCATGCCCTTCCCAAAACTCCTCAGCTGAGAGACCGTTTGTTCTCCCAAACATCTGCTGGCAATTCCCCTCTCCCAGGGAGTGGGGCTGTGCCGGGGCTGCGTGGGCAGCTCCTGTGCCTCTCACCCGCCGGAGGAAGTGGGTTGGGGTTGTGGAGTGTGCTTGGGAGCTTGGAAACCGCTGCTAGAAGGAGGGAGGGAAGTGCTCGAAGGAGAAACAGGCAGAGCAGCTGCGTGGGAGGGGTGAGCAGAGCCCACCCTGACACCCACCTGCTTTCCAGGGGATTGTTCGTCCTGTCCCCAGGTGTCCCTTGCACCCCATGGGTGCTGTGGGGGGACAAGCACCAACCCAGGGGCACCCCCAGTTTCCCCAGGGCTGCAGACCCGGCACAGTCAGGTCCCAGCCCAGTTTCATTGCATGATGTGGATAAAAGTGTGATGCACTTTGACAGCTCAGGAAGGACCTGATGTGCTCAAAAGCTGCTCTGCTGGTTTGATTTGATTTTTATTTGATTTTATTTGATTTGCTTCTACTTTTATTCCCGCAACCTGTACCGGTTCCTCCAGTAAAAAGCCTGGCCCGCGGGCACTGAGGGGGCAGGAGGCGGTGCTGGCAGCCTGCCCATCCCTGTAAATCCCGGTGCAGGGCTCTGGCACCGCCCGTGCCCGGTGGTCCCTCCTGCCAGGGTGCCGAGCATCCCCTGCCCTCCCTGTGTCCCTGGCAGGCGGATCCAGCCGAGCTCCCCCCGTTTCCCCACTCACATCCACCCCCCGCCCGTCTGGGCTGGCCACGGAAGAGTTTTCGCCCAGAAAAGCTGGATTTGAACATTTTCTGCTGTTCTCTCCGCTTCCTGTTGCCTTCCCAAGAACAACATCCCTGACCTCATCCGCGGGATGCTGCCCATGTGCCGCCCGTCGGGAATCCCAGCCGGCGCCCCGGCTTGGGCTCGGCCTTCCCTGGGTACCAAGACAAATACAGCTGCGGGAATGTCGGACCAAGAGGCTATTTTGGGTAAATCCTGTGCTCATTTTTGTTGAGGTAGGAGGACACAGATGAATAGACTGAAGGGAGAACAGTGGTTTTGGCTCGAGCTGGGAATTTTCATCCCGCAGAGCAGCGATGAAACACTCGTAGTATTATATGGCTTTTTTTTTTTTTTTCCCAGACTTTGGGTTTTTTGCAGTGAGAAATGAGGAGGTTTCATGCAGCTGCCCTCTCCACTTCGGGGAAGATTTCAGGGAGGCAGGTGGGAATTTGCCCAATGATTTTCCAGCGGGTCTGGGCTCCCGGTGCCCATCCTGCCCCTGAGCTCTCTGGAGCCATCTGGAATGTTCATGGTGGGGTTGGCAGCTGCCTGCCTGCTGCTGTGGGGTTTGGGATTGCTGCTCACGAACCTTGGAGACAAACCTATCCCGTGCCAAATCCCATGGGGAAACAGAGTCCTGATGTTCCTGTTGCTCTCTGCCATCCTCATCCCAGCTGAGGACTGAGACCAACCTGATGCCCAACATGGCGGAGCAAAATAAATAGACAAAGTAAAGAATCTATTAAACAGAGCTTTGGAATGTCTGAAACTCTTCAGGCTCAGCAGTTAAAAATAATAATGAAAAGGAGATTTTGTGTTAAAAATATATAAGTGGTCACAGTGGGAAGAGGAGCCTGTGAAGCTGATAAATTGTTCCTGCCCACCTGGAGCAGGGGCTGAACGTGGGGTCTGGGTGACCCCGTGGTGGTGAGGGGTGGTGGTCCAGCCCTGGGGATCTCCCACCCCACAGGTGACACCATGGTGGAAATGAGGGCAGGTGGCATTTTTGGAGGTTTCTCCACGGTGGTAGAGCAAGTTCTGGGAGCTTTGAGGCTCTCTGGGTGGTGGGTGGTGGGATGGGACAGGATAGGATGGGATGGGATGTGATGCAGTGAAGTGCGGTGGGATGGGATGTGATGCAATGGGGTGTGGTGGGATGGGATGCAATGAAGTGGGACGGGATATGAGGCAATGGGGTGGGGTGGGATGGATGTGTGGGTCTGGGTTCTCCCATCTTTCTTTGGGAAGGTGATGACCTGAAAGCTGCTGTTCCATAAAGTAGCGACTCATTACCCAGGAACATTAACATTAGGAGTCAGTTCTGCTGATTCTGTTCCTTCCACCGGATCATCAACTTTAATTCATCTCTTGACCATCAAGGTTTTGCCAGGACGAGACCTTCTTCCAGCTCCAGCTAATTCCCAAACCTTGCACTAATACCTCATTTATTCTGGCCTCTTATCACCCCCTGGAGTTCAGCAAGTGGGAGGGTGATGGGGTGGGATTTAACCCCCTGGCCAGGAACTTTGCAGCAGCAATGGCAGGAAGGAACAGGAGGAAAAGCCCAGGGAGAAACAATAGGTTCCAACACAAACACCATGGGAATTTCAAAGCAGGGGTGGCGGGAGGGTGACGCTGAGGGGACGTTCGAGGTGAAATGCCTTGGGAACAGGGAGTGTCCCTGGGTGGGCAGAGCCACATCCCTCCTGCAGGACACATCCGGGTGCAATGCTCCGTTCTGGGGCTCACACAGATCCTGCTCCTTGTGCCAGGGCTTGCTCAGACTGGTGGCTTTCGGCTTTAGTTCACCGTGATGGTTCACAGGGGGTGGTTGAACCTGTTAAACAAGGGCTCCAAGTGCCTGCTGGAGACTGGAGTCTGATGATGGCAAACGATGCTGTTGGGTATCACAATTAACATTTGGATACACACAGAACACCAGTTTAATTGGAAAGATAACCATATGAGAGTCCAGGGTGCAAAATAGATAATGCAGGTAATGCACCTCATGCACATTTATGTCTTTATTTATAGTAACGTGGCTGTGGGGTTGATTGTCATTTCTCTATGAGCACCTACTGATGCTGCTCCTGTTTGGTGCTTGTACTGAGTGTACAGTACAGGATTTCTGTCTTGGGTTACTCCAAAAGCTGGTGGGATGAGGACAGGACCCCAGCTTCACCAGACTGGTGGCGAGGAGGGTCCCCAGGCCAGCACAACCCTCCCAGAGGAGGCTGCACAGGGTTAAATTGCAGCGACCGAGTCTGTTTCCTCCCTTAATTCCACAATGGAGGGTTAATGGCCTTTGTTTGATCTTGGCTTTAATGTTACAGCTCCGTCCCTAGGCCTGTGTGGAGGGAGCTGCCTTTGTGCTGTAGGACACTGAACCGCTGCCTCTTCCCCATCCTGCTGGAGCACGGCCACCACACTGGAGAGGAGAGGAGAGGGGAGGTGAGAGGTGAGACAGTGCTTGGCATCAATGGGGCAAATGGGGAGCTGCCTGCTGGATTTTCAGTCTAATTTGCTGCACACTCAGGAGAAAAAATACAGAAGAGCCATAATGTGTTGCAGATTGGAAGGTCTCAAAGCTGATAATGAGCTGTTAATAAGCGTTTTCCTGGATTTTCCGCTGGAAGTAGGCGGGTAATAGACATTTTCTGCAGGATGAGGCTGCAGCCACATCCTGGTGGAGATGAGGGGCTGAATCATGTCCTGATGTCTCAGGGTCAGGGGGTGAGAACTCGGTGAGGAGCTGCAGGAACATCTTTCTCTGGGGCCAGTTGTGGGTTTCCCATGGGATCCCCCATACCTGTGTGCTCCCTGTCCCCTCTTGCCCACATGTGTCAGGGGGCTGTGACCCTCCTGCTGTGACTGACACCATGTGTTTGCCCAGCAGAGAAACATCACCGGCTGGAGATCCTGGGGCTGCCCAGGCTGTGATTTACCCAGATAATGGCCCTTTCCAATTTGTCCAATTTCTTGGATGATGTCGATAACTACAGTGACTACCAGGATTACATCTACGACGATGCGAGCAGTGTGTGGGTAGACCCGTCCCATGACCCGAAGGACATTGCGAGGATCCTCTCCGTCATCATCTACACCGTGTCCTGCGTGCTGGGCATCCTGGGCAACGGCCTCGTCATCGCCATCATCACCCTGAAGATGAAGAAATCAGTCAATGCTGTCTGGTTCCTCAACTTGGCCGTGGCCGACTTCCTCTTCAACATCTTCCTACCCATAAACATCGCGTACACGGCCATGCGCTACAACTGGATCTTTGGCACGGTCATGTGCAAGCTCAACTCCTTCCTTCTCATCCTCAACATGTATACAAGCGTCCTGCTGCTCACCACCATCAGCTTCGACCGCTACATCTCGGTAGTTTTCCCCGTGTGGTCCCAAAACCACCGCTCGACCAACCTGGCGTATTTAGTGTGTTTGATCATCTGGACCATCGGCATCATCATGAGCTGCCCCTCCCTTGTCTTCCGAGACACGGCACAAACCCGAAATTCCGTGATTTGTTTCAGCAACTTCTCCCTCTCCAGGAACAAGTCTTACCAAGCCCTGGCACTGATGAGGCACCGCACGGTGAACATCACCAGGTTCCTCGGCGGGTACATCCTCCCCATAACCATCATCACTTTCTGCTACATCGCCATCGTCTTCAACCTGCGTCGGAATCGCCTGGCCAAGTCCAAAAAGCCCTTCAAGATCATCGTCACCATTATAGTCACCTTCTTCCTCTGCTGGAGTCCCTACCACCTGCTGAACCTGCTGGAGACAGAGCCGGGCATGGTCCCGCCCTCTGTGTTTGAGGTCGGCATCCCCATCACCACGGCCCTCGCCGCCTCCAACAGCTGCATGAACCCCGTGCTCTACGTCTTCATGGGCCAGGACTTCAAGAAGTTTAAGGTCACCATCCTTTCCAGGCTGGTGAATGCCCTCAGTGAGGAGACAGGCCACTCCAGCATCGTTCACAGGAGCTTCTCCAAGATCTCTTCCATGACTGAGAAGGAGACGACAGTGCTCTAAATTCAACCTGGTGCCTTCAGGGGGGACATAGTCCTCTGGTGTTGGCCATGCCCTCCACTGGGATGCTGGCCGGCACTGTGGTGGTCCCTGATGTGGGACAAGCATGGTCCAACACCGTCCTATAGTCTATTCCTTGACTGGTGTTGCTGCCTGGGGGCTGGAAGAGATTGGAGACCACCACTATGTGCACGTGGAGAAGACATAAGTACCCTGATCTTTGTCATTGCGAAGATTGTTGTACCAAACTATTTAAGGAAACACTTCAGGATGTTCCTGTCTAACCTTTGCACTCTCTGACCTGGGAAGGGCATTCCTGGTGTTTCCAGAGACATTGTGATGGGGTGGGGGATGTGTCTGGGAAGGCACCTCCCAAGATGTGTGCTGGGTGGGCACCACCACAGGTGATACCTGCTATGGCCAAAGTGGGGACACTCCTCTCCTATGTCTCTGTTTGGCTGCTTGTGTTAAATCCTGAGGTATTTTGGTACAAGTGCAATGTGTTTGTAACTGTTGGGAGCACTTTGCACCCCAAGAGGCCCTGGGAGGTGTCCTCATATCGGCTTTGAATATCCCACCTCGATGAACTGGGAAGTCTCAAATGTCTTCTAAGTGATCCAGACCGAGGGGGTGGGGACTGGGCTTGTGCACAGGGTCACTGACGTGGAAAACTGAGAGAAAAAAGAGAGAAAGATGAATTTGAAGTGTGTTTTGAACAACCCTCCCTTTGATGGGCACATTCCACACGGTACATTTTGCAAAGTGATTTGATGTTTGGGACCAGGAGTCCCAGTGATTCCTTGCAAAGGGCCTGAGTGGCACCAGGGAATGGGTCCAGGGGCTGGGAACGAGCTTCTGCAAAGGACCTGCTCTCCTCTCCTGCATCCAGATGGCCCTGGGAACTGGCTCCGTTGATGGCAGCTCCCTGGTGGGACTGATTGGTCCTATGGGATGATTTTCTCTCTTCCAACCAGGCAGCAAACCCATCTTGGGAGACTCTGGGAGTCTTGTGGGAGACTCTGCCGCCACACACCAATCTCTGAGGTGAAGGCTGGGCTAAGCCACTGTCTCCATCCAATTTCACACACAGTTAATCTGGGAGCTCCTTCTCCATTAGGGCTTCTTGACTATGACACCGGTGTCACGCTTATTTATGTGTTGGTTTCTCCGTGTCACCCACAGCCTCTCTCTCCCAGGAAAGTGAGGAGCCCTGGAGCTGGGTTTGGGCAGCCCCAGTGGCACCAGGGATGTTTCAGGAGGTCCCCACAGGAGCTTTGTGCAGGTATTGACAGGCTGGCAACTGAAAGTCTGCTCACAGGTGCCCATGAAGGCTGAAATATTTATTTATAGCATTTCTTGAAAATCAGAAAATGGAAAAAACCATGAAGAGGCAGCTCCCAGGCAGAGGAAGAGAGCTATTTACAGGCTCCTGGTGGCAGCAGATCGTGCCAGACAGGTACAAACCGAACCACAAAGCCTCGGTAATTGAGCTGCCGCCCTGAGCTGCGGGAACGTCGTGGATCAGAGCGGATGCTGCAGCGGGAGCTGGATTTCAGAGGGATTATCAGGCGTCCCCTCCGCCCTGGCACTGCCTCCCTGCTCTGCCTTGATCTGCATAACCTCGTTAGTGTGATGGGGAGAGGGCAACAGCCACGCCATGGGAGCTGGATCTATCCTTCCCTGGGATGAGGCTGCCTGCAGCATCCCTGCCCCAGGACAGGGATCCCGATGGAATCCAGTGTGTTTGGCTGCGGTTTTGGTGCTGCTGATGGTGTAAGTTGTTCTGGGGCAAGTTTGTCCCCGAAGCCAGGGCAGGGAGGTGACCTCCTTCCCACCACTGTGGATCCAGCCTGCTAAAAGTGGGAGATTTATCCTGAAAATTAAGAGTATCCTACCTGAGCCCCGAACGGAAACGCAGCACGGGATGAGGTTTATAAAGGAAATTGATGGGAAATTAATGGGAAATTAGTGACTTCACCTGTTGGATGCTGCTGTCACTACACAGGGGCTGTAGGACACACAGCACCTGGCTCCAGGTGTCTCCATATCTCCTGGGAGCTGGGAATAAGCTGCTTCCCCAGGGAGCAATGCCACATTCTTGGGCTGCACTGTGTCCTGTGGCCAAGCCCAGGACCACTCTCAGCCCAAATCCACACATTTTTTCCTCTAAAACCGGTGCACAATCCATAACCATGGCAGATGCTGGAGCAGGGATGCTCCTCCCTCATTTTGGTGGCTGGATTTTGCAAGCCCATCTATTATTCCTGCAAACAGCTTTCCAAAAAAAATAGTGACTTGGTACTTAACCTGGGGTTAAATCATCACTATAATGACAGCTTGGGAATCCCAAGTTTCCCAAATGTTTGAGTTCATCCTTGTAGCTGTTTACTTATTTAATAAAAGAACCTGTTTTCCATACAAATACCCCCGGTATGTGCTGAAGATCATTACATGGAGTGGGAAGGATCCCAGGGTTTTTTCATTGAGCAGTCCCCGTGTGCATTCCTGATCCCTGCTATTGAATTTGGAATTGTCAAAGTGGTCAGGAGCAGAGAGGTTGCAGGGCTGGGGCTTGAGCGACCAAGATGGGAGTGTGGTGCTCTGAGCCTCTTGGATGGGAAATGTCTCAAAGATGTTCTCCGGGGGATTCCCACTTTAATTTGTCCCTGAAAAGACCAAATGGCTCTTTAGGGAAAAAAATGTGTCTGTGTGTAAAAAGCAGCTGGAATAGCATAATTTCCCTATGTCCACATGTGGATCCCTGTTGGATCACATCCAGAAAATGCTCTGTTATTCCAAATTGAACGAGGAATTATTAATGCCAGTGCAGAGTTGGTCCCTGTGTGGGATCTGTCTGTGGGATCTCCCTACATCCCCCCCAGCAGGGGTTGCTTCCCCATCACCTCCTGTACCCCACGACACCCAGCCCCCACTCTCCCCATCCTCGATGCTGTTCTGGGGGGACAGGGAAGCAGGGAAGGGGTTGGTTCCTGCCTCCCAATGGGCTCCCGGTGCTCCATCCCAGCATCCACCAGACACCAACATTGCTGCTCCATCCCCTCTTGCTGCTGGTTCTCCCCATGCTGGCAGGGTTTGGGGTGAGGATGGGGAGAAAAAAGGGAAAAATCCACTGAGTTTTTGCAGCTGGACCCTGTAACCTCCCAGATTTTGAAGAAGCCAGGAAATAACGATAAATCCCCAGGGAATATAAGTGATTCCTGTTCCCGTGTCACCCACTGATCACAGCAAACAGATCACACAGGGAGCATTAAAAATGTATATATATTTATACATAAACAGGACAAAAATATTCCTCCTAAAACTTCAGCAGCTCAAGCCCCTTCAGCCAGGTTTTTCTTCCCTTTTTGGCAGAGTGGCAAAGAAAAGCAGCTAAATATTATCCCAATTTCTCTGACATTGCCTAAATCCTGCAGGAGAAGGAATCTCACAGGGTGCTGGAGATGTATCCTGTCAGCTTCTCTTTTTTTTTTTTTTTTTGCAGTGCTGGTTATTTTGTTATTGAAGGGGAGGGGGCTTAGGTTGCGGTGTTGATGAGGGGAAGGTCCAATATATTAAATTGAGGATCCTTGGATGCATCCCAGTGATCCTGGTCCCCCTGTGCTGCTCAGATGGAAACGTCCTTCACTATGAATTAATGAAGTCCTCTATGAATTAACGAAGTGCTCTTGATTAATGACAGCAGGAGGTTAATGACCAGCTCCAGGGGGACGTGCACAAACTGGAATTAGCATCCAGGGAAGGGGCTCAGTGGGAGCTGCAGCTCCAGGGCTGGTGTCCCAGCTCTGTCCTGGCTTGGGACCCAGCCCCTTTTGGGGCAGAAATTGATGAAACTGGTAATTAGGGGTGCAGAGGGTTTAGCATCTCAGAGTTTAGGGGTGAGTGGGATGCAGAACCACCACTGACCCCATTAAACCTGCAATTAAGGCAGCTGTGGGGATCATGAGCTTAGGGTAGGTCAGAGATTGTGGGGGAAGAGCAGCAGGTTTTGGAGCTGGGACACCAACCCCCATCCCAGGACCCTCATCCCAAGCCCTGGGACTCAAACCTTCAGCCCAGGACCCCAATCTCCAGGACCCCCATCCCCAGCCCTGGGACATCCCAGGAACCCCCTGACCCTCAGCCCAGAACCCTGTGACCCCCCACCCCCAACGCCCACATCCTGTTCCCCAGCCATCCCACCCCTCCCTACCCCATGACCCCATGGTGCTGAGGAGCTCAGCACCCCCAGACCCCGATGCTGTTGCAGCCCACCAGGAGCCTGGGCAGGACCAGTCCTCACTGAGCACATCCCAAACCTACCTCATACCTCTCCATGTCCTCTTCCCACCCCTCCAAACCTGGGGCTGGGTCTCATTCCATGTGAGAAATGACTCTGGAATACTCCAATCCCATTTCTGTGGAGCACATTACCGGCCTTAATGATGGCTCTTTTTCACTTGGCTGTCACAGCCCTGAAATAAAGCCGTGCTTTACCTCACCCATAAATCACTCCTTTATTTGGAGTTGGAATTAAATTAAAAAAAAAGAAAAAGGAATAAACATGTTACCTTCTCCCTTTTCTCAGAGCCAGGCAGGTTGGAGCCATGTTTAAATAATCTCTGCTGTATTCAGGCAGATTGTCAGCTGTAAATTTGGGGGAAAATAGCAAAGCTGATAAATAAACATGTTGGGTTTATCAGTGATGGATGTTGCTGCTCTCAGATTTATGACACATCTCCCCATTAAGGGGCTTTTGTGACAGTGCTGCTGGGTGGTGCTGCTGAGGGGGGTGATTTCCCTCTCATTTAAAAACAGCAGAAAGTTCATGGGATTTAATTTGGGAGGAAGGGGAGCCCCTTCCCTCTAAGCTGCTCTGAGCCTCCCAGCATCGCTGGGGTCATTGCCCAGAACCCCCTGAATTCGCCCCAAAGGGGTTTTCACTACCCTTGATGAGGGAGGGACCTCTAACCCGAGCTACTCTGGTCATCATCTCCAGAATCATCTCTTGCACCGCAGGGACCACTGAGCACAAAACCCCCCCCGGAATTGGGAGCACTGCAGGTGATTCTGGTGCAGCCGCTGTTGCAGGGACCGCTGAGCACAAAACCCACACAGAACTGGGGGAAATGCAGGCGGTTTTGGTGCAGCCACCGTTGCCACAGCAACCGCTGAGAAACTCATTCAGCCCAGGAGGGAGGATGCTGCAGCCTCCGCCAGCGCAGGACCGGGAGGCAGGAAAACACTCCCAGGGATAAGAGATTGATGGAAATAGATGATTTTCAGTGCAGGAATCCAGGGAGGTGGGTCGGGATCACCCCAGCCCCACGTGGGGCCGGGCGAGGTGGCTGTGCCCACCCAGGGATTGCTCAGGGCTCGCTGGGGCTGAGTCAAGCAGAAAGATTCCCTGCTTTTCCAATCCTCATGGAAAGGTTGAGTGTTGCCTACCCCGGGCTAATGGCATTACAGAGGCAGCCGAGCAGGGAGGCTATTAAATGTCAAGAGCTTTGCACAGGAAAATGATGCAGGAAGGATGGTTGGCTCCTCTTTCCAGGGGGAATGGAGATTTTATTAGTGCGTGCCAGTCCCACGTGGTAAAAATATAACCCAGTATTTAATAAATAAATAAAAATAAATGAGAGCATGAAGCTTCGGCTCTGTGCGTGCAGGGACAGCAGCTCCTGGCAGGAGGGAGAAGCTGCTCCTGCGTCAGTGGGATGGAAGGGAAGGAGGGACCCCCTCTAATCCAGAGGTGCAGCCAGATGTGCAGCACACTCTGACAGGGACCTAATGACTTCCAAGTGCTCCATTTCAGTGCAAATTAAATTTAAGAAAAGCAATTGCAGTGCAATAAAGGCAGGAGGAAAAAATAAAAGAGGGGAATTGAATCTGCTGGTGCTCGGGGAGCTCCCTCGCTCCTTTTGCCGTGGGTTGGGAAGGGGTTTGTGGGGGCGGCGGGGCAGATGTGGGGTCCCCCTCCCCACGCCCCCCCTTCCTCCTGACAAGCTGCAGCCCAGGCTCTGAGCACATTGGCTGCACGCAATGTCAGCTCTTAATTGTTTTATCTCCGAGATTAATTGGCTTTTGGGGTTTAATTATTTCCGAGGGGTGGAAGGGAACGCTGCCCCTTTGGCAGCCGTGGCCTGTCAGAACAAATCACTCCTGACGTGTGTCTTCATCACTGCACACCCAGTGCTGCTATAAAAAAAGGGATTTCACCAACTCCTGATCAGAAATAAGGAATAAATTGCACCGAACCTGCTCTTGCTCCAGCGCTGAGGAAGGTTGGGAGGCACCAGGAATAAAGCCTGCAGTGAATCTCCTCATGGACTCCAAAAATCCCGTACTGAAGGACACTCTAAAGGTACTAAAGCTCCCAAGAAGGAGCCCCTTTGGTTGCGTTGTCAGTGGTTTAAATACAGAAATCACATTGTTGGGATTAAAGGTGGGGGAGAGGAGCCGTATCCTGTGGGACACCCTGGTCTGGGATGAGTGAGGGATGCTCAGGTGGCCCCACAAACACACGGGGAGGCAGAACAGCAACAAAATCTCTCCTTTAATAGCTGGATTGACCTGAGGATTTGTTCTGACCGAGGTAAACAGCCCCGGGGCTGCCGTGAGTGAAGGAGCGTGGGCTCAGCTCCATTCCCAAAAAACCTCCAGCCATTTGTCAAGGGAAGAGTTAAAACCAGGGCAGCTGCTTCCTCTGAACACATTCACCCACCTCCGTGCAAAAGAAACAGGGAGCAGGAGCCCCCCAGCCTGTGTTTGCTCCTCAAGCACATTAGAAAAATATATTTTTATTTAAATTCTCCTTTTTTCTCCATGGAATTTTCTTCTCTCTTTAAATATAGATCGAGTGGTGAGTCTCGATTTGACCTGTGCCTGTGTTTCTATCAAGATCAAGAGTTAAAAGCCAATTGTTCAATATCTAATCTAGAAAAGGCTGCGTACAATATATGGCTTTTGCACCTACATCCAAAGGGAACTCACAGGTTGGGAATACTGGGGGAGCTTGTCTGGGGCAAAGCCAGGACAGGGACGGGCTGGGAGGGCAGCGTGGGATGAGGGGGTGGCTGGGGATCACATGCAGCTCTGCACAAAGCCAGCCTGGAAACGGCACCTTCCTGTGCCCACAGGATCCTTTGGTTTGGGTTGGGGCTCAGGGGGGCTCGGCCCCCCCAAAGCTCAGCCCCAGGGTTTGCTCCCCACTGCAGCTCCTGGCCCCCAAAACCGCTGCTGGGGGGTTGTTCTGGCTCATGAGCTCCTGAAATGAGGCACAGATGAGCTCCTGGGTTGCAAAAGCTTTTCTGTCCAGGGCCAACGTCCCCCTCTTGAGCATCATCCCCATGGAGGGGGGAGATCCCAGCTTGTAGCCACCCAGGTGGGGGTCATGGACTCCTCCAGGGCTGGAGCAGCAACGTTGCCTGGTGCTAGGGCAGCACTGGGGAATGCAGCCTTGCTCCAGGGAGCCAAGGGCTGGCTCATGGGGGCACAGCCACCTTGTCTGGGGACATTACTCTCCCCAGCACAGCCTTCCTGATTCCCATCTGGAATGATGGGATCCATCGGAGCAAC